GGTGCCCCCACAAATAGAATCAAATTCTGTGGGAAACACTGAATATAGTTTGTGCAATCTTTTGTCCTTCGGTTTCAACGATCAAACAGTATAGATGGAAATTTTGCCATTTTTATGCTTTATAAGAGTTTCTTTTATTTGCACATTGACCGGATGATGTGCCATTTCTGTTGAGTTTTACGACAGCTTTATTCGTCTGCCTGTATTGTTTGTGTTTATTTGTCGTAACGTTGTCCGTGCTTGGCCAGGTCGCTCTTGACAAAGAGATTTGAATCTCAATGAGACTTTTTACCTGGTTAAATGAAGGATATATATCAAGCAGTGTAAAAAACAATGGCCCCTTTGTTCCCTGGGATTAAAACCACACAAAAGATCACCCAGTTCCTAAAAGCTGCCTTCCAGAACAAACACATCAACTCGAATAATACATTAAAACAATAAAGAAAAATTATTTGAAAAAGCGATAGAAATAAACAAAGAAGGAACGAAAGATAGAGAAAAAACAGAGACAGAAATAGAGATAGAGAGAAAGTGAGAATGAAATTAAAAAACAAACTAAGAAAGAAACAACAAAAAAACCAACAAAGGATAACAAGTTGATGAGGAAAAGACGGAACAACGAGGCGTCAGAGGGCAGGACACTTGGTGGAAAGGGAGAATAATCAGGAGATTAATTAACGCGTTGCAACGAGAGAAAAACAAAAAAGTGGCCCGTCATCCTCCTCAGCTCGCAGCGCGGCCTGCTGGGTAACAGACGGGGGAATTTAACCCGGAGCAAAAGGAACATGATGAAACCTTTGCATCAGACGCTGCAATCATTACTGAAGCTCAGACTCCCCGACACACAGAGAGGAGGCCGACGTGAGAATGAAGACGTGTTTGTGAGTTTCCTGCAGAAGCAGAGGAGAACTCTGTGGATCCTGTAATCATCCCTGCTCTGATCTAAAGCCCCAGAGAGAATAACATTAGTGGAATTATAATCATTAAAGCTGAACATCTTCTGTTGAATTAAAGACTCAGTGCAAAGGTCTAATAATCATTTTTACACTACTTCTATTGATTGTTTCAAATAAATATAAAGAAACACTTGAGCTCCTTTTTGTACAAGAACACATGTGACTTAACATCGAGTCACACTTTCCTCTGATGTGCATGAGCTATAGCAATATACATTAATCACTTAAAGGGGACCTATCAAGCAAAATGCACTTTCTAATGTCTTGTATACATCAACATGTGTCCCCGGTGTGTCGGGGAACTCACGCAGCGTCAGAAAATAAAACCTTCTCTCTTTTCCTCTGTACCCAAATCTCTAAAAACGAGAGTACATGACGTAATATCTGAAATGTGGACCCACGGCCCTATCAGAAACGTTGCTATCAGAAACAATGCCGACTGTTTTGGACGTAATATGGTCGGTGTTTACATTAGCATGGCTAACACTCAGAGCTAACCTGTACTGGAGAGCATGTGTGTGAAGAAGCAGGAAGTAAAGAGGAACTCACCTTGTGGTATAACCGGCAAGAGAGAAAGCCTTTGAGCTCCATACTGTTTCAGAGATAATCCTTGATAATCCATGATATGACGTTTCATCACGGCAGTATTTAGTTTAGACAGTAGCTGCCGGGTCCCGCATGAGCTCAGACCCCTCCTCTTTTGTTAAGCACTTTAGAAACAGGAAGTGAAATAGAGGGATATGAGGCATGGCTAGAATGGGGGATCTGTTTGGTATTTTGAGCAAAACACTTCATACACATGTTTTTATATATTTGTNTGTTATCCTGTTAGTGTAAGGACCAAGGAGGATGTTGTTCATAGACAGTGGGTGGCTCAATGGGTAGGGTGCGGCTGCTTCACCCGGGAGGTCGGGGTACGAGACCGGCCAACAGCTGGCCGCCGGAGGGTGCAACATAATTATGGGGTGTAGTGTAAGAAAATGTGGTGGGATGTGTTGGGTGCTGTTTTTTGAGGAAGTTACCAAGGTGTGGGGAGACATATGGGAGTGTGTGTTTGAGGGGGCGAGGTGTTACTTCTTTCTATATTAGCTTATGCTTCCTCTTGCCTTTTCCAGTATTGACGTTACTTTTCTCGTGTTGAGGTTGTTATAACTAAATATCTGATATTGACAAAGAGAAAGGAGATAAAACATAAACGTAAGGTCATCAAAATACAAAATGTTTCTTTAACCTTACTTACTTTAATTTGGCTTTTAAACTGTTCCAGAGCAAAACTGAGACATCACTGCATGTTGACTGCCGCTGTGTCCTTGAGCGAGACACTTCCCCCTAAATAACCCTACGTTGTCCACAGTATTGATGTATGTATGACATGTCTGAAATGTGTCATATAACGAAGCACTGTGAGCTCTTGTAAAAGCACTAAAGCACTTCTAGAGATGTGGAATGACAGCAGTCTTTGCACTCCACTTCTCATGCAGTTAGTATGTGCAGGTCTTCCTGTTGGCAGGCTGCCTCTGACAGATGTGTGATGTTAACACAGATGTTCTATAAAAGCGGTTTGTACTCACCAGATGAACGCTCGCTCCTTCAGGTCCAGATGAGACGTGACTCAGAGAGGAATCTGTTGAAGTGAGACTCTTCAGCTCTTCAGTCTCTGAGGACTCTTCCACTTCCTCCCTCCCTCTCTCTCTGATCGCCCCTACCTCTCTCTCTGATCGCCCCTCCCTCTCTCTGATCGCCCCTCCCTCTCTCTCTCTGATCGCCCCTCCCTCTCTCTCTCTGATCGCCCCTCCCTCTCTCTGATCGCCCCTCCCTCTCTCTCTCTGATCGCCCCTCCCTCTCCGTCTCCCTTTCAAATACGAACACAAAGAGGCTTTATGAGCATGAGCACATTTTAAAAATAGTATTGCCAAAGCATTAAGGCGTTATAACAGTATTTATATTAGACCTATCATGAAAAATGAATATGTGTCCCCGGTGTGTCGGGGAACTCACAAAGTGAAAAAAAACCCTCTCTCTTTTCCTCCGTACCCAAATCTCTAAAAAAGGGGGAACAACGGAGCGGATCCAGATTTGCGTCCGATTTGACGTAATATCTGAAATGTGGACCCACGGCCCTATCAGAAACGTTGCTATCAGAAACAATGCCGACTGTTTTGGATGTAATATGGTCGGTGTTTACATTAGCATCGCTAACACTCAGAGCTAACCTGTACTGGAGAGCATGTGTGTGAAGAAGCAGGAAATAAAAAGGAACTCATCTTGTGGTATAACCGGCAAGAGAGAAAGCCTTTGAGCTCCATACTGTTTCAGTAGATAATCCTTGATAATCCATGATATGACGTTTCATCTACGGTCAGTATTTAGTTTAGACAGTAGCTGCCGGGTCCCGCATGTCCCTTTTTCATTTTTATCAATTTTTCTTTATACCCCAAATCAGCACTTTTGAAACAGGAAGTGAAATAGAGGGATATGAGCTATGGCTAGAATGGGTGATCTGTTTGGTATTTTGAGCAAAACACTTCATAGACATTTTTTTAAATATATTGATATATCTGAGACCTATGCTATTGCCTACAAATAGCATGATAGCTGACCTTTAAACGTTTGGAGTTGTTAATTATTTCAGTAACTACTCTTCATTTTGTTAACCACGCACGTTGGTTTATACAGCAGGCATGATCAATATTTATATTTCTTATAGTGAACAAAGAAAGTCCTGTTTTTTCATTTTCTTCAGATTTGTTATGTTCTTATATATTATATGTATTCGACTGTATTTCCATTGTCCTTGTCACAATATCTTTTCTTCCAGAGCCACAGATTCTCCTGAACTGATCCCCATGTTTTCAGACCGGTGTGCAGAGAGCGGGTCGGAGCTGAAGAATAATCTCACCTGTTCTTCGTATCCCTCGACCTTCACCGGGGTGAACTGGTCCAAGTTGTACTGTGCAAACGCACTGCAGAGAGAGGGAAATAAAGTGTTACTTTATACACCCTTAACTAGGTACTTTATTCAAAGATACCTACAACTCTAGGCTGCTGATTTTCTTAAAGATATTTGTCTATTTAAAATATGTTAGCTGACCGTGTTTGAGCAATATGGATGTGGACTAAAGGGCTGTCCACACAAACCATACATTTATGTTGAACATGGCAGATGACTGTCTCGTTTACTTCTGGTCAACAACTAAGTAATAACATGGAGAGTTTGAAAAGTACCACAAAGTGAGGAGGGCTGTTCATTTAAAAAAGGTAGCCTAATTTGTTTTAAGATCATTTTACTATACCCTCTTGTGTATAAAACTAAGTTGCCGATATATTAGTATTCCTGTGTGCTCAGGTTCCTACTACTGAACTGTTTTATTTTCCTTTTGCTAAGGCGAGAAGGAAGATCGAGTCCTCTAGAAATGTTTTAGGCCATTTCTGACTCACCTCGGTTTGATTATTATGTTAAGCACTAGATGTGTAGACAAGGCAGGTCATTTGAAAGTGCAGAAGTAAGCCCTACACGTTTTGTAAAAGTCATTACATTTTTTTTAGATTAGAAATGGTAACCAAAGCTGCCACAACGATTTTGTCCAACTAACAACTATCTATATTTGGAGATACCATTTATTTATCTATTTTCGGAACAGATTTGCCTTTATCGGAGTGACAGTGTTGAAATTCAGTCTTTTTGCAGATTCTGGAAAAAGACCTGGATGACGTGCAACAGGAGAGACTTACTGCGCTGCACCTTCCCTGAGAAGATTGTCATTGTTGAGCAGCAATCGCACATCTGAGGAGAGAAAGGAGACAGGTAGAGTGGATGATTAACGAGTCAGAGTCACACACACACTCAGAGAGAGAGACACACACACACTCAGAGAGAGAGAGAGACACACACACTCAGAGAGAGAGAGAGAGAGACACACACACACACAGAGAGAGAGACACACACACAAACACACCAGAGAGAGAGAACACACACCAAGAGAGAGACACAAAGAACACTCAGAGAGAGAGAGAACAACCAAGAGAAGAAAACAGCACAGAGAGAGAGAGACACACACACACCAGAGAGAGAGAGACACACACCAGAGAGAGAGAGACACACACTCAGAGAGAGACACACACACACACTCAGAGAGAGAGAGACACAAACACACACTCAGAGAGAGAGAGACACACACACACACTCAGAGAGAGAGAGACACACACACACTCAGAGAGAGAGAGACACACACTCAGAGAGACAGACAGACAGACAGACAGACAGACAGACACACAGACAGACACAGACACACACACACACAGACACACGGGGGGAGAGAAACAGACACGGTGAATTAGCTCGGTGGAAAAGGTTGTAACATCACACAGAGATGAAAGAGGACAAAGTGGCACGAGGGGACTGTAATTCAGAGTGTGTGTGTGTGTGTCTCAGAGAGAGAGAGACACACA